TGAACCCCACTTCAATCCCTGTTGCATGTTTGAAACCCAGTTCCAGGCACAGGAACATACAATTTCCTGGTCTAGGCATATATAGGAATCAACTAATCCCTGCTTCTCTCTCACATCAATGTTTCTCTCTCCCTTCCTCTCTCCAAAAACAGTAAAAAAATGTCCTCGGGTGAGGATAAAAAAATAAAATAAAACAAGACAGAAGGAAGGAATAAGACCAAGGACTATTTGCTTGACACACTTGTCAGCTGTGAATCAATGAAAAAAGATACACCCTATGGAATAAGCTAGGCCTGCCTATGAATTCTAAGTCTTTATAAAAAATATGTGGCATTGGGCAAAAGTTGTCAATATTTTTTGAGTCTTACTTATTTATACAATGGGTTATGATATTTCTTTAACTGAACTGCAAAGAAGAATCAATGGGACAGAATCATGCAGTTCCCAGCAGAGTCTGGCACTGTAGGTGCCAGGGGAACAAAGACTCTCTGCCCCCCAGACACAAAGCAGCTGTGCAGAGCAGGGCCAATTGAAAGACCTTTCATAGGCAGGCTGGGAAGCCCACAAGCACCCAAAATTTCATTCATAATTTAGTTATTCTGAGAGTCTTTATGACCCCAATTACTTTTCTAAACCATTAACAGAATCAATTTTTGAAAAATGTAAAGTCAAGGGAAAATAAAGCTACTTTAAAGTATTTTTCTCAATCACACTAAAAAACTATAAACTTACACTGTGGGCACTGCTACTTGATACGGTCATTGTTTTAGCTATTAAATTATTAAAGTTATTAGAATAGCTAAAACTGGTCCAACCAATATTAAAAACCATTGATTTGGAATATCACATTTTGAATTCTGGCTTTCAAAATAATTTACTATTATTTAAATACAGAGGTGACTATATTTGTTTACATAATTAATTTGCTATCATATTAGATCAGCAATTTTTAACCTTTTTCACCTTGTGGCACAAATAAGCTAATTACTAAAGTTCTGCGGCACACCAAAAAATATATTTTTTTCTGCTCTGACAAAAAAACAGATATAATTTTGATTCATTTACTCCGACAGCTATTGTTATTTTGGCTGTTGTCATTTTTTAAATTTGACAAGCTAACAAGAGGTCAGTGCCTATGACTAAATAGTCAGGTACTATGTTTTACAAATTCTGTGGCACACCACTGTGCCACAGAAAACAAGCTGAAAATTGCTATATTAGATGAATCGATGACTTTACATGATATTATAACAGAACACAATCTGTGAGACATTTATTTCCCAGTTTTTTTTTTTAATTTAAAAAGTCTTGAATTAGCCCTGGCTGGTGTAGCTCAGTGGATTGAGCACAGGCCTGCAAACCAGAGAATCACGGTTCGATTCCCAGTCAGGGCACATGCCTGGGTTGCAGGCCAGTTCCCAACAGGGGACACACAAGAGGCAACCATACATTGATATTTCTCTCCCTCTCTCTTTCCCTTCCCCTGTAAAGGTAAATAAATAAAATCCTTAAAAAAAGAAAAACGTTTAAAAAAATAAAAAGTCAAATTAATACAAGCAGCCTTATGTCTGAAAAAAGATTTTTAACATCTTAGAGTTTATTTCAAATTCAACACAATACTAGTCACCACTAAAATAATTTGATACTTTCAAATTTAGAAAAACATTTTTAAAATTACCATGTCACACGGTGATGCTCACAGGGCCCTGGGCCTTAAGGCAATTTTAAAATTCAGTAGTGGTCCTTGATCCACACAGTATGGACCAAGTATGCCACCCAGAGGCAAAAGGAAGAAATGCACCTTAGATTTTAAAGTGTGAAACTTAATAGACGTTAAAATTAAAAAAATTATTTATTAGTTATCTTATTAAAAACAAGAAAAATTATAATGCTTTTTCTGCATGACCAAAGGCTTTAGTACCAGATTGCATAAAAGATGGCTCTTGAGAACTCTCACAATATGGAAACAAGCCCTGAGATGGTAGTCGTCACAGGTGCAAAGTTTGCCAATTAAAAAAACTGAATTTAACTGCACTATTTAAGGTAAAAGCTTTCTTTTCCCTTTATAATATAACATGTGTTTCCAGAAGTACATATAAGTTCTGGAACAACCACCAATGACCTATTTAGACATGTGGGCCACAGTTAAACTAATTACCAGAGATATTTCTTATTTAAATGAGAAGTTTCTTTAATTGGAAGATCTGTGTAATTTTCTTCTGGCAAAGGAGTAAAGTTTATTTAGAGTAATTCTGTTTGGCAGCCAGGGCTTCTAAAACATATACCAATAATTGTAAAGGTTAGAGCAAAATAGTTAATTCTATTCAACAAAAAATGTAAAAAATAGGGAGATTATAAAATAGATTTATGATATCCCCATTTTGTCTTAGAAGTTTAGACAATGGAACTAATGGGCCATCATTTAAGACTGGTGTATTTTTTGCCCTTGCTGGTGTGGGTCAGCAAATTGAGCGCCTGCCTGTGAACCAAAGGGCTGCTGGTTTGATTCACAGTCAGGGCACATGCCTGGGTGGTGGGCCAAGTCCCCATTAGGGGGCACTCGAGAGGCAACCACAGGCTGATGTTTCTCTTTCCCTCCCTTTCCCTCTCTATAAAAATAAATAAATAAAATCTTTAAAAAAAGGATTTATGTGTTTTACAATGAACCACAAAAGATCAAATTAACAAAAAAACATGGCATACATTATAATGTGAAAATGATTTTAAGTATAAAATTTGAAAACTTTTTCTACACTGTGAAATCTTATTTTTCGAAATAATGTTTTGGGTTCTCAAATGTTATATTATTTAACCTCATTTTATTGTTTCATTTTCACTCCAACATACTTAAAAATAGAAAGATGTTTCTAAACTCACACCTATGTATATGACTTTCAAGAAAATTCATTCTAGAAATACTGTTTACTTCCAACTTTAAATGTTTTTATTTAATTAAAAGATTCTACAGTTATTTCTGAGTAATTTTTTTCTGCTAAAACTTAGCAAAATACTGCTTGCAAGTGCAGCAATATTAACTACAGCATCGTCTCTTGGATCTGTCACTGAGGGATCTCATTATTATCTGTGAGAGTTAACTCTCTTCCCTATTTATACCACATGCCCTGAGTCACAACATTCTGCAAAAGATGCTTCCACCTGCAATGATGCCTGCAAAATACCTGAGCACAGAGCACAAACAATTCTACTTTCCCATCTATTTCCATTATTTAGGAAATAAATGAGACTATGGGTCTAAGTCTAGCCTAATATAAATGTCCTCTACACAATGCTGAAATTGGAGCAAATATAACAAAAACAACTCGGATGGTCAGAATGGCTATTAACTTCAGATAAAAGGTCAATGATCAAAGAAAAAATTGTTAATCAGGGATCGTATTGCAATAGTTTGGTTGGGAAGATTTAAGTACACTGTGAAGCAACAAAGAAAAGTTGTGTTAAGCCCCGAAGCCCTGGTTGGTGTGGCTCAGTGGACTGAGCGCTGGCTTGGAAACCAAAGGGTTCCTGGTTCAATTCCCAGTCAAGGCATATGACTACTTAGGGCACAAGCTGGTTGCAGGTCAGTAGTGGTGCGCTTGAAGGCAACCACACAATGATGTTTCTCTCCCTCTCCTTCTTTCTCCCTTCCCCTTTCTATAAATAAATAAATAAGTAAATAAAATTTTTTTTTAAGATTTTATTTATTTATTTTTAGAGAGGTAGGGAAGGAGAGAAGGAGAGAAATATCAATGTATGGTTGCCTCTGGTGAGTCTCCTGTTGGAAACTGGCCTGCAACCCAGGCGTGTGCCCTGACTGGGAATCGAACTTCGATCGTGTGGTTCGCAGGCCCACACTCAATCCACTGAGCTACACCAGCCAGGGCTAAGTAAATAAAATCTTTATTAAGAAAGAAAAGGTGGTTAATCAGGAGAATGACCTCTTACGTATATCCTAGGGGTATTGAAAAGTCTGTATCTGCATCACACATTCAAGAATGAAAGAAATACAGAAAGGATGACTACTTACAATTCACGAGTGATTCAAGTTCATTAATAAATATCTACACTAGCTCAAAAACTGGTAAAGACCTAGTGGTAAAATTAAATGCCTTAAAATTTCTTGGCTCTTTCCTTCTTATTCTTCCCATCCTCAATGCTACCATCTTAGTTCTTATCATTTAAAAAATAATTATACATTCATTTAACTACTTCCCAATTAATATGTCTCCAGGCCCAACTTCCTACTTCATCCTACCACTTTCACATTTTTTAAATCCATCCTCCAAGCACAGTCCAGAATAATCTCTGTGAAATACAAATCAATCACATCACTTGTTTGTTTGACATTCACACACAAAAATCAAGAGTCAGGGTGTTCCTGGCTTCTTTCCTGTCCTCTACTCACTGGCAGGAGACTTCTCAAGGGAGGAAGGTCAGGGTCTGGCCACACTCCACCCTGTATACCCAGGGTCTACAAAAGGACATTATTGCTAATGACTCCTTTGGCCACCTCCTTTCAACTTAACCACCAATATTTCTTTGTGGAAGAAATGAAAGTAACTCCTGATCAAGAAATGTCAGGACCCCTAATTTATGAATGAGGTCTTACACAGATACATTCTAACTTCTACAACAATAGTTTTCAGACATTTGAACATTTTTTAAAAGACCAGGATCATTTTCTTCAAACAATATGTAATGTAGAACCCCAACAAAAAGTGGTTGAACAGCCTTTTTTTGAAGCTGACAACATAAGCAAAGGTTCGATTATATAGAAGTGCATAGAATAAAATTCAATGCAAAGTCAGTGAGAAGAAGAAACAGGTATATGATAAAATCTTATTTCCATTTTGGAAAGACCAGTGTGGTACTGTGTATGAAAGAGTCAAAACTACCTAGAATTTTAACAGTTCTTATGTATTTCCATAAACCCTGATTTGACTTGCAGAGTTACATGCACATTCCCAATAATGGGCTACCATGATAAAGGAAACACAGAATACCTGATCCTCACTGGTTAATCCCAGGTGCATCACAAGGTAAAAATGCACCAGGAAGTCTGAGTTTGGCAGAACATCCTGGCGTCTGGTCATCATGGCACAGATCAATTTGTAGGCTTGTAGTTTGCCTTCCTTATATTCATTTGGCAATGTTGTTGCCTGCCAAGAAGATGATGTTTAAAGATTTAATCAACTCCAGATGCAGCAGAGCATTCCAACATTTCATTTATTTTTCAGTTTTCCACATGGAGATGTGGGATGCATTGGCTTTACTAATACCGAGACTGTCTTCAAAACATCCAGTATTGGGCAATTACATTTTTTAAAACTCAATTTCTGGAAGGAAGAGGAAATTACAATAAAGGAATAAAAACATATCGACTTGCCTTAAATAGCCATGATGCAAACATTCTGAGTGGTGGGATCAAGACCGGAGGGGATGGAGAAGACTGGTTATCCGGGCTTACTGCTAGATTATCTCGTATCTAATTCACAAAAAGAAGACTTAGGGAACAACACAGTTTATCCCAACAATATTCCAATATTGTGTTCCATGGTCAAATAGCTTCTTCCAATAAAATTTCTATAAATTAAATGAAAACCTACAATGTTTACAAGTTTTTGAGATCTACTGTCCTTTCAAATTATATGTCTAACTTACCATATGTGGTTTTAGATGTAATACAAAATTAGGGCATTGTTTTTCTTTGAATATTAATGCCTGAAGAGATGCTGAACTCTAAATGGTAAGAAATGGTTCAACAAGTTATACTGTATAAACATAAATCATGGATTGAAAAAAAATGGAGAAGTATATGTTATTAACACAAACAAAAACCAAAATGAAAATCTAAAGTACTCTAACAAAAATTTATTTATCTGTAGAAATAAGACCACTTTTATTATTACTTATCTCTATGGGGAGGTGATATCAATTTACTTCTTAGTATTTTTCTACATTTTTCAAATCTTATACAATAAAACCAGTATCAGTTTTATAAAAAGAGTAATTAAAATTACTGAACAATGCCCTATTCTTCAATATCCTATAGTAATATTACATTTGTACATTAATGAAATAATTATTTCATATTTATAAAATGACCAAACTATAAGTATTATTTCTTCTTTGATAATCAAACATACTTCATGTAAACAACTAATTTTTCTTCCAGGGTATGTTCAGTAATGACTTACAACACAGTTTTTATGTTAAACTGTCAATTTTTCCATATTAGAATAAAAGGTAACATAGCAAGAGTACCTTTGCTAGTTTGTACCAGAGTTCATAGAGATAGCCAAAAACTTTGGCATGGATCTTCGGTGACTGGATATTATTCACATCTCCAAGGATTCCCAAGATTCTTCGCCATAACACAGCAGCAGAGTCTGGGTGCCAACCAGTGAGGTTCCCTCCAGCAATTATGCTGCAGTCATCTGCAAGGCATTCGCTGCTATCTACGGCGAAAAACATGTGTGTTAACCCTGGAAACACAATCTTGATTTCATCATGGAACCTTTTTCTTTAATGAAAATTACCAGTGCTTCAGGGTAAAATCATCAAGATGAAAATTGCTATTTGACAATTTTTACTGAATTATTTAAAAAAATAAACTAATTTGTTAAGAATAGTTTTGGGAATTATACAAAAATTACTAAGATAATATAGAGGGTTCCCATATACTCCACATCGAGTTTCCCTATTACTAAACATCCCAGATAAATATGGCACATTGTTACAATTAATGAACCAATATTAAACAATTATATAAAGTCCATACTTACTCAGTATGGACTTTAGGTAATTTTACTCAGACTGCTTTAGGTAATTTTAAGCTAATGACTTTATTCTGTTCCAGGATTCAATCAGGATATCTCAGTGCATTTAATTGTCATTTTTCCTTAGCCTGCTTTTGGCTATGACATTTTCTTAGATTTTCCTTCCATTTTAAGACGTTGACAGTTTTGAGGAGTCCTGATCAGAAATTTTATAAAATCTTCTTTAACTGATATTTGTCTGATGTTCTTATGATGAATTTTTTCTTTTTGGCCTGTGTTCCTGTAATGAATGTTTCTTACCTATGACGGATGATCCTTTCCCAATATTCTTATATTTAATTGGAATTATTTGTTTAGGATTTTTGCTGATACTCTTTTAAATAAGATAGACCCCAACTTTTCCTTTTTAAGTATGCACCTTATCTGGTTTCATTATGAAGGTAACACAAGTTAGATAACAGAAGTTAGGGAGCTTTCTTTCCTTCTAGTATCTGGAACAGGTTGTATAAAATAGTTTCTCTTATTTGAAGTTTCATAAAACTAGGAATTGGCCTTTATTTTTATAAATATATTCAAATTAACTTACTATATTATTTACAATTTTTTAGTTCTGTTCCCTTTTTACCCCCAATATTCTTTTCTTAATCAATCTTGATAGTCGTTTATTTTATTTTTTAAAGACTTGTTTCTGATAGTCCCCTCTATTACTTTCTAGCATATGAATGTGCACTTTGCTTTACTAGTTTCATTTTTATTAACTTCTATATATTATTCTGCCACTTTCCCCTAATTTTTTAAATAGAATACACAGATAAATTTTTTCTCTTTTAACATAAAAACCTATTTTCCTCCATATAGTCTTCAGCTATATTCTAGAGCTTTTGATATGTAGTCTTTACTGTAGTCCAGTTTGAAATATTTCCTAATTTATAATTTAATTTCTTTTTGGACTTATATAAGGTACAGGGGATAGTTTCTTAATGTATTTTTGTTTTATTATTCTTTTGTTCTCAATTTATATTATCACATTTAGAGAATGTGGTATAATTTCAAATTTTGACATTGGTTGAGACTTGCTTAAAAATGCAGTCAGTCAATTTCTGTAAATGTTCCATGTGCTTTTAATTATACATTTTAACCACATTTTAATTTAGTTCAAAGTATTACATAGGTATAAGATATCTCCATTCAATATATAAATATCTCCACTAATTGTATTATGTAGGCTTCTCTAGTCTAATATATTCTTAACTCATCAATTTCTTAGAGTTATTAAAATTTTCTACTATAAATATGGTTTTATCAGTAGTTCCTTATAATCCTGTCAATGTTTGCTTCATATATCTAAAGGTTATGAAGTTCATATAAATTCAGAATTACTGCTGTTACTACCAAATGATTTCTGCTTTAAAGTTTATGTGACATATATATGTATAGTTAGACCAGTGTTTTCTTTCTTTCTTCTTATCTATCAATGTGTTTATTTAATTAGGATCTCCTTTGCCTTGCTTCTCTTTTAAATCTTTGGAGGGAGTTTAAAAAGTTGTGTCCTACCTCTACTACTAACCCCCACCCCCGTCTCTTTTATCTTACACCAATTGTTATTAACATAATTATTCCTAAAGTTGTATTCCTCACAAATTTCCCACACAAATGAAGACAAACTGATTTCTAGGCAATTATTAATTCCTACTCTCATTGAATACATATGTTGTTGGTGCTTTTAGTGCCTACTCAAAGAAACTCAAGCACAGTTGGTGGGTGTGAGGAACTCAAGTAGAGGAATGACAAGACTCAATGAGGAACAAAAAGGAGTGAATCTGACAAGGAGCCGAGGCAGATTCAAGAAAGGTCTGCATCCTTTCCTGCACCCAGGACAGCTGGTAATAGCTTATTTTATTAGACATTAAAAGATCCCAAAACACCGAAACAAAAGATTTAGTGAGGATGGCACATAGTGTCATGGAAAGGCCTTACTCAAACAAGAGCAGTGTTCCTTCTTTAAAGGAAAACATCTGTATTTCCCATATAAGAAGCATATAATCCCTTAAAGAGACACAATAAAATGTGCAGGTCTAATTCAAAATGAAATTCCTAAACACTGTGACTCAAAGACAGGGGGTATAGAGAACAAAAGCCTGATTATGGGTCTTTTCTTCTCTGAAAGAGACTCATCCTCCTAATGTTTAATCTGTAAAATAAGTGCAATACCAAACATCTGTCTGTCAAGAAGGTATGATGAAGCTTTAATGAAAGTTTATAAATCAACACAAGACTCCAAATGAATACAGAGCATAGTATGGCATTTATTTTTCTCGTAAAAAATACTATATCTTTAATCCCTTGAGGGGTATTAAAAAGTAAGGGGATTAGATGATTTATAGTTCTGTTTAACCCTCCCCATCATTCCTAAAAGGCAGCCACACACTCCAGTCACACTGGAGCTTTGCTTGAGTGACACTATGAGGTAAAAAGGCTAGGTACCTCACCATCTGCACCTCCTTGCTACCTGCGAACTAATACATTCTCAGTTATAAAAAGGACCCTATCTAAAAAAATGTTTCAATACTCCTATGCTCTCTGAAAAATTTATACCTCAGTAATAAAATACTAGGTAACATTCCCATCTAAACATGTTGAGTCTTTTAGAAGTATCTGAAATAATTGCATGTCAATATTACTGTGAAAATTTTTTTTAATGAGATGAAATGTTTTTGCCCCAAACTACTGCGCTCATGGCATAAGTCACAGAACAGATGCTGACATTTTACATGTAGATGGTTCCTCAGTGAAACAGTACTTAATGAAAAACAGGGATTTGGGAGAGTTCAGAAAATTTCATGTTCACCCAAAAATGCCAAATATTTAGTTTTATTTTCTTTTTCATGAGCAAGCTAGTATGCTAACCTAGTATCTTTTCATTTCATTATTACTAAATGCAACAGGGGCATTTAAATATTTCTTATGAACTGGAAACTCTTGCGAACAAATAAAATATCTCTCTCTCTCTCTCTCAATATACACATGATTTTAACAGAGCAATATAAAGTTTAGAACTTTGCAAATATGCAGAAAATTTGTCATAAAATAAGTCTTGGTAAAATAGGCACTTATGACCAAATGATTTCACACAGGGGCAATTTTATGTAGGGGTGGTAGAGTGTTAAAGAAACATAGCAGGCACTTTAGAAATGAATTTCTCTTGTGATTTGAAATTAAAGACAAATCTAAAGGCTCAACTGAAGCACCTTAATCCTGGGACCAGAAAAATCAGGCCTGACCTTTTTGAGGGTCCAAAATGGAGAAGTAGCAGGTCTGCTGGTGTTCTGTTGGCCAGCACTACAGCCTGACTTTCTCTCCCTCCTTATCCGCTTTCCAAGATGAGCAACCCATTAGACAGATCAAAGCCAAAATGCTGAGAGAAAAAAAAACCCCGTCTAATGGCAGACACAGCTGACAACCACACCATTTAGCCAAAATAGCTTTGGTGGCAGGTAACAGTGAATATAATTCATATGCATAGCTATAATTAAAAGCAGAAGTGCTAAAAGGATTTCTATAACAATATTTGGAGGCAGGGCTGTGATAAATATAGTAAATAAAAAAGGTTTTGAAATTGAATATCACATTTTTTATTACTAAAAATGTTAAAATTTAATTGTTGCTTTAACTAAAAACAATAGTCTAAACTTAAGCAGAGTGTCCAACCTTTTGGCATCTCTGGGCCACAGTGGAAGAGGAACAGTTGTCTTGGCCCACACATTAAATACATTATGACACGTAATAACACACAAACAAAAAATCTCATAATGTTTAAGTGAATTTACGATTTTGTGATGGACCACATTCATAGCCATCCTGGGCCACATGCTGCCATGAGCTGGACATCCCTGTTCATTCATTGATTTGGCTATTTACTAATGTTCCTCTTCTGCCCTGTATAGTTCTGGAAGTCAAGAATAAGTTGTGAATAACAATGACACCCTCCTCGAGATTATATTCCAGTAGGGGAAGAACACTGACCTTCTCCCCGCTAAACCAAAACATTGGATACCATTTCTTACTAAACCTTATGTTAAAACACATCACTGACCTGAAAGGAACCTGAAGGGGGAAGAACACCAAAGCTGACTTTTTCCCTTGAGGGTTCTGCCACTCCTTAGAGTTCTTAAAGTTTTTCTGATAATAAAAAGAAAGTTTTAATTATGCTGCAGTTAAATTAGTGACTAATAACTCTATTTTGGTTAGCTTTTAAAAACATATCATTTAAGAAAACCTTCCCTACCCAAAGGTCTTAAGATATTTTTAGAAGGTATTCTTCTAAAAGTTTTAAAAACTTCCTTTTAATGTTTAAGTATTTTATCCATCCACAGCCCAATTGACTGTGGGCATGGTGTAAGGTAGAGATTCTATTTTATTTTTTTTCTATTTGGCTAAATACTTGCCCCACAGGCATAAAAGGATAAAACTAATGCTTTCCTTGCTAGATCTGGACTGCCACCTCTTTCATATTCCTGTGTGTATTCAGTAGTTTATATTCTATTCTATTACTCTATTTGTCTATCTCTGTGATTCAAACTTTCTGTACATGAACCTCATAGCACTTATCACATTATTTGTCACTACAAGGAAATGTCTAGTTTTCTTGGTAAGCTATTAAGTCAGTTGTGGTTATGATTATTCCTGTTTTTACTTCTTATAGCATCAAAATCAGTATTTCCAGTTTGTAAGCTTATTTGCTAAATCAGAGATTATGTCAGCAGCAATATTCTTAGTTAAGAGTCATAAATATTCTTCAAAATCATTACGTCAACAGAACAAAGTTGATAAAGGTATCAACTGATGCTCTGGATCCGGAACCTCCAGATCAGGAAAGGACTGTTCCTGCCCCTCCTAGGGTTAATAATTCCAAAAGACAGCCAACAACTCACCAGGAATTACCTCCCAACTATCTCCTTTATCTGGCTCTTTCACATCAAGCCAATATAGCCCCCTGCCACAGTCACCACAGGGCCTGGCACTGGACAACCGGGAACAGCATCTATGCTCTAGAGTTAGCTGAAACTGTTCAAACTAGCTATCCTATGTCTGCTTACTCTGGCTTGCCTTTCCTTGCCTATGCAAATGACATTAAGGCTGTTGCACAGTTTTCCCCCTCTTTCCCACTGTCTCCTGACCGACTCTGGTGCTTTTCTGTATGGCTCACCTGCACAGCAGGCCAGGGCTACTGCTTCTAGGGACCTGTAAGTATAAAGTTATTTCTTCATGATAATCACTTGCATGTCTGCATGTCTTACCATACAGATTAAAACAAATCCCTGGTACATTTTGACAGAAGGCACAGTTAATTTAGCTGTTATTTTCAGTAAACATGAAATGATTTAAATGAGAAAGCAAATATAAAACTAAACTGTTATTTTGCCAGAGGTGAAGGAATTTGAGATTTTAGAGATTTATTGTTCTAAGCATTTGAAAACTGGTAGAATTATTCAATGAGAAACAGAGATACTCAAATTGTTTGATCACTATCTTGGCATGTCCTAAAGGCCAGTCTAACAAGAGTTTTATTTTGTATGTTTATAAGAAAATCCTCTTAAGAACAGAAAGTTAAATTCATAACTGTCATAATCCTTAAACCTTATCATATTACAGTTTGTCCTTTTCACAGATGACAACGTGAACTATTGAACTGAGTGTACTGATTCTCTACATTAGCATTTCAAAGAAGAGCTAAGTACCTGGAGGAGTTAATCATGACAGAGAGAGTGCACCATATACAATTACCTCACATAAGTTTATTAAATTGAGCAATCCCATGTATACTCTGAAATGGGATCAAAACTAATCTTTCCAAAGGACAAAGGAAGTAATCACCCAATTTTCTTTCCTTTCAATAAAAATAATTAAAACTAGTTTCTGTTTAAATAAATTCAACTTATTAAAGATTCAGTATTGCCTTCAATAGTGCCACCATGAGTAACCCTTAGGTAGTCTGTATATTAAACCCAGAGAAGCCATTTACTCCATAAATGTATTAATACTTTTCAAATAGTTTAAAGGGTTTTGCGGTTGTAATTTTAATAGCAGTGCAGTGGAAGGAAGTAGACAGCACTGCATGTGGAGTCAAAACACTTTAAAATTCAGTTCTAACTCTGGTGCTTACCTTCTAGCTAGACTGAATTTCTCAGGGACTAAGTTTTCCCATCTCTAAAACAGACTATGTAAGACTTAGCCTTCTTACCATACAGAATCAAGTTCTTTGTAAAGGGGTTAGATCCCATAAAAATTTACAGTATTATTATTCAAAATCATTATACATAACTATATAAAAACAATTTAAATCACTTTAATAGTAAATGAAAATTTGAGAAGTACAAATTGCTACCCAATAATTTATAAACTAAGCACATATTTTGCCAACCATTTTCTCATTGCCTTTGCAAGGATTCTACCATTGGCAGATTTGAATACATAGACCAAAAATGTCTACTATCTTTTAAGGAGAGCACTGCAGCATTATAAGGCAGTAAGTATGTTATTCACTTACAGCTAACTGGTCTGTTTTTCTTTGTTTAATTATTCTATTCTTAAAACACATACATATTAAATACACATTAAGATCATATTTCTTGGTCTTACCTATCTTATAGATAAAAGATTTTATCATACACCACTTTTCTATGTAAATTTTATGAAGTTTTAATGTTACTCCCTCAAAATTTCCAAAACATCATAGACTTTGGTTAAATTTGACATTAGGATGAATAGAAACCAAAGTTTGCTTTTTTTTAAGTAGTTAAGAAAAACTACTTAAAGTAAAACTTTATATGAAAATCATTTTTGGCATTTTAATAACAACTTCTACTCAACATATGATTTATAGCTTGCTGTTTCATAAAAGATATCTGTATGTAAACATGAGCGTGGTAGACCTGGAAAGAGTTGGCTATGGTCAGCATTTTCCACACCAAGTTTCTCAGAACACCTCTCTTGACACAAAAAGTAAGCAAAACAAATACCCAACTCTCTTTGGGGTTACCATTCTCAACAGCCCTGTCACAAAGGTGAGGGAGCTGAACCTTTCAAGGTTTGTATCCCCAGGGTCACACATTATACATGCATGTGCATATGTATGTGTACATATGAATACTCTGTGCACCAGACTTGTATATTCACTCTTTTGTTCCTCCAACAACCCTATAGTAGGGACGATTATTATACCTAATGTACAGAAAAGAAGAGGAAGGGCAGCAAGATTAACTCACTTGCTCAAAGTCACCCAGAAATTACTTGGCAAAGCCTGGATGCAGACCCAGAAAGTTTGGCTCTGTAGTCCACATGCGAATCGTAAAAATACCATACTTGGGGGCAAAAGGTGCCAAAAAATAGAGAGTATAACATCATTTTTAAAAGTTTAAAAATATGATATATTTGAATGGTTGAGGACAGATATATGTGGTAGATCTATAAATAAATCAAGGGATTATAAAAATTTTTGAGATAGAGTCACAGAGTAATGAAAGAAGGGAAGGGACTTGAGAAGGCCCTCTAGGAAATCTTACTGATTTAGATATTGTATTTTTTTAATTTAATTAATTTATTTTTAGGGAGAGAAAGGAGTGGGGGGAAGAGACAAAGAGAGAGAGAGGCACTGATTTTTATTCCACTTATTTATGCATGCATTGGGTGCTTCTTGTATGTGCCCTGACCAGAGACCAAACCCCCAAACTTGGTGTATCGGGACAACGCTCTACACAACTGGGCCAGCCCGTCAGGGCTGTTGTTCTATTTCTTAAGTTGTGCACTATGCTCACTGGCACTCACTTTTTATAGTAAAATTTCAAAAATATATTCATCAGTAACCTATTCAAAGTCTAAAACTTATTTTAGATTTAGGGCCCTTATAAAGCGAATAAAATCACTCTTCTGTTTTCAGAGTCAGGGATGTCAAAGGCTTGACATGAGTATCATCACCTCCTCCTTTGATGGACAGTGGCTGTAGGCTTCTTTCCATTATTTGGCCACTAATTTAGAACCCTCTCCACATGTCTCAAAATTCATGACTGATTATAAACAGGTGATTGGGGCTGCAAAAAGCAATCTGGTTGGAGGTGGCACACTTATCATCATTGTGCTAAAGGACCCCTAAATTTCTTATAACTAGGAAACCATGGGATCTCCCAACCATTAGCACTGTTGCCTCATTTTCAAAGACATGGTTACCTGTTAAGTTTGAAGTATCAGTGGGACTCAGTTGTAACCAATGGCGGGCATCAGAGTCAGCCACAACATCTGTAGGAGAGTTCAGTTCTGTATCTTCCTCACAGGTTTGCCATGAGCTCATGGACAATGCTGCCTCATTGTCACAGCCCAAAGCTGTGTCACTGCTGACACTTTCACCTGGTGCAACGGAAGAAACAAAGCCTGAGATAACTAACAGCTGGAAATTAGAATGCTCACAATTACCTACACACAAGTAAATAAACACCTGACACAGCAGGAGTCATAAAGGACAGAAGGACTCAAAACGTGCCTTTGTGGTGCTCTTGCTAAATTAAATAAAGCTTTTAAGTGCAGGGCATTAATAATTATTATAGTTCCACTATATATCACACAAGTAGCATTGTTTTCAGGGGCTTCAACTCAGTTATACCATATACCCAAAGGATTGCATCAATTCCTTAAGTTTTGTACTGCAACTTATAAAACTATAAAATGGGGGTGGGTGGAAGAAAAGGGGGAAACTGGTTTACCACAAACGCAAGTTTATTCTACTGGCTAGAAGAGTCTACATTTTGAGCCTGATGTCTAGACCTCAACTCAGGCTGAATCACCCAGGATCACTAGAGGATGAGGTATTCTACTGCAAAACATCTCTAATAGAAACTCTCTCCTTCACATACTAAAATGTAGTTTGTCAAAATACAATGATGCTTTCAAAAGCTACTAAGCCTTAGAGAGTTATTTTGTCTAACACAAAACAGACCTAGAGAGTTTACTCTTCCAGGTCTCCTGTGTGCTTCATAACAATTTTATGTGTCTACCCTTTCTGTCGGCTCACACTTTCAGCTACTTTTTGTTTCTGTAGCTGACAGTCCCCAGCCTTACTGCATCTAATCTGCTTTTCATTTTCAAAGAACTGAAAGTTGGCCCAGCTACTAGCCTGTTAGGTAACTTACTTCACTGCCACAGAACTCTAAGCCAACAGGGGCTGAAGAAGGAGACTAAGAGAAGTTCCTCCATATCCCACCAAGAACACCCTGGACCTGAGTTGTTTACTACGTTGCTCTGAGAAGAGGATGGCTCAGCACTTGCTCTTGAGAAAGCAGGATTTTGGGCCACATTAGGGCCACATTTTACAGCATGTGATAAAATGTGTAAGGATTCTAATAAAATTTTATTTTTTAAGTACTTATACTATTGATTTCAATATACTTTTGAAGCCATTTTGCTACTGGATGGTGGGTAAACTCTAGGGAAGATCATTTTTCCTTCTTGGTTTGCCTGCTCACCTAGCTATCAGCCTTGGTTGTGCCTCTCTGGGGAAAGGTCTGGTGCTGGTGGGGAGGGGAGGTGGTGGAGACAGGTAACTCTAAGGTACAGGTAACTGACTGGGACTGTACCTATTATATGTGTGAACTAAATGTCCATCAATCCTGACTCCAGGAATAAAAATGTCCCATTTCACAACCACATCTCTTCAGATGATAGCATTTAAATTAGAAAGTAAACAGAAAATGAAATACAACAACTCTAAATCTGGATGAAAACAGATCACATTTCTGGAACTTACTCTTCTGTCTTTCCCTACATTTTCCTTGCATCTGCTGTAAATCATCTTTTGAATCCAATTCAGCAGAGCTGCTGCTTCTTCGAACTAAAACCTTCAGACAAAGGAAATAATTTATTTGTTACAGGAAAGTTTTAATTATTACAAGACTGGAAAGTTTTTAGTCTACATTTCTAAAGAAAAAGGAATAAATAATAGTAGCAACAAAAAAACTGAGTGCTGCTTCTATTTAAAGCATGCGTTCACAAATTATAATTGAATTATAAATTACTCACAATCTAAAACTTATGGCTTCTACTTTGTCAACTGACATTCAATTAAACTGATTTACTGAAAAAATACAAAATTATATGAAAATACTATATTTTAAAGTTCTCTTTGTTCCTCTGCTCAAACACACATATATAGTGAATGCAATTCTCCAGAAGGTCTAAGTTTCCCAAAGATGGTAAGTCTGCTGGCAGGGAAGGAATAAACTCAACCAACAGTTTTCTAAAAGTCACTTAGTGCATTGTTAAATGTGCAACAGACTTTCCTGAGCATCATTCAGCATTAGACCCTCTATTAAATACAGAGCACTAAAATATTTGGAGGCAGTCTGCATCCTATAAAATTTATGCATTGTTTGGAGAGACAAAACATATATAAATTACACGAAATGATTACAAGGTACACAAGCAAACTATGCAAATAAATTCTCTCTACAAGGTATGCAGAATAAAGTGTTACCTTAATTGGTCACAGTAATAGGACAGTTGTTCGAGAAGGCAACAGACATAAAGTGGTAGAGAGAAGGCAGGAGGGGATTCAAGGAAGGAAGCACTGAATGGTAATCGGCAAGTTCTATGTGTAGGAAATGAAGCTGATTATAGCAGGCCATGCAGGGCAGGCAGGTGAAGAGAAAAAAGATGAAGAAAATGCAGCCCGCCTTCTAAAACAGGCAGCTGCCAGCAGGCCTTCGACATCAGGTTTAGGAATTTCAACCCAATATTGACAAAATGAGGAACTGTATGTTCTAGACAATAAGTTATTGTGATTAAAAACATATCTAGAAAGAAAAGTCTAGTAGTTATCTGCAGGATTAGTGTTAAGAAAAATTGTTCTGGAACTGTTATGGTGATTCAGGAATAAGCAGATAAGGCTTTTGTTGGTAAAAGGAGGGGAAAGAGAGAGAGGGAAAACGTAAATAAGAAACTGGAATTCTACCTAGCAGAAAGAAAGAAGGAGCTTATGCTAAGTGAAATTAGCCAGGCGGTGAGGAGCAAGTACCATATGATCTCACCTTTAACTGGAACATAATCAACAAAAGAAAAAAAGCAAGTGAAATATAACCGGAGTCACTGAAAATAAGAACAATGTAACAATAGCCAGAGGGGAGGTGGAGGGGACAGGGGAGAAGAGTTTTCAGGAACTACTATAAAGGACCCATAAACAAAACCAAAGGGGAGGGTGGAAGCTAGGGAGAGACATGGGTTTGGATGGGGTGGGGGGAGAGGGGTGGGGAGAAAACACAGACAACTGTAACTGAACAACAATAAAATAATTTAAAAAAGAAAATGCTGAAGAATGGCAGACAAAAGATTATAATCAGCTGAATATGACAGTGGAATAAATTGAAATCACAAAAGGAAATGAACCTAGGGGACCATGAGAAGAATGGTGACAAAAGAAGTAAGGGAAAAAAAGGATAATCAACAAAGGAACTGAGAAAGTTTCTCATATTTGAATTTTCATCTGGGCTCAATATCCAAAGACAATGTCCGGTAAGTAGGCAACAAAAATTCAGGATTGTGAGAGAAGATAAATGCAGAAATCAAGATGTAAATTTAAGGTCCTCCAGTGTAGAATATATTAAGAAAACCTCTATTCAATGAACCATGTAAAAGAACAAATATTAAACAAGCAAACAAATGAGAAGTAGGGACTAAGATGTATTAATTAAAAGACAGAATGTTTATAAGCCAAAAAAAGAGAAGGTGGCCAACAGTATATTAAAAATATTATACAGTCTTAAAGAAGGATGATATAGATTTAATGTGATAATGGAAATACACCCAGAAATTTCCTTCGGTGAAAGCAGCATGTAGGCTCTTCTGTTTCCGACTGATAAATGAAATTTCCACCAGCCACAGAACTAGGTCCTACATAAAAAAATTTGGGTTTTAATTTGGGACTCATAAGGAAGTGAAAGAAATCCAAGTAATCCATAGCCCCTCTCCCAAAAGCAAGTAGAAACCTGGGCAGTGAATGGGGTTATCTCAAGGGTAAATCTAGTATTATCACTGCCAGTGGCAAAAGAGCTAAGACTTCAGGATTACAGTAGTACTCCCTGGTTCCTGGAAGAAACAAATGCCAAGGCTGTCCTGGTGAAACTCCATCACTTCACACATTCAAGTTTTCTTAAATTAAGATCAGTCATCTTGGAACTCAATCAAAGACCAGCAAACATCCAAGGAAATAAATCACCATGCACAAGAGTCTCGGAAACAACAAGTATTAGACTTAAACCCCCCTCCCAAGGATTTCAGATAATAAGATAAAGAATTTAGAAGATAATAGGTGAATAATTAAAAAATAAGAGTTAAGAATCACAAAAATTCTCAAGCAACACAAGATTATTAGAAATCACAGAAACCACATATACTTGAATAAAATCAACCTGAACTTTCAAAAGCAAAAGGCATAACTGTTAACTAAAAAACTCAATGGAAGTATTAAAGAGCAGACTACATACAAGGAAAGAGAGAATTATTGAACTGAATGAAAACCAGATTTGATTAATTAAGCATGTGCCCAGAGGGCCAAGGAAAATGGAAAATATGAAAGGGGCTTAAGAGATATAGAAGACAGAATAAGAAAGTCTAAACATATTTTTACCTAGAATCCCAGAAGAAAAAAGCAGAGAAAACAAAAGAAAATATTTGAAGAAATGATTACCAAGATTTTTCCCAAAACAATGGAAGATAGCATCTACAAATATTTGCCACAGAGCATATATCAAAAACACAAATGTATAAACCAAAAGAAACTACATCTAAACATACTATAGTGAAATTGAAGGACAAGGATAAAGAATGAGAAACAACAAAGATAATGAATGAACGACTTCTCAACAATGGAAGACTAGCAACAATGAAAGACAAAAGGTAGTACAAAAATAGTTTACATTAGAAGAGGTTGGGAAAGGATAAAGAAGTAGGGAACTACTAATTAAGATATTGTAGTACTGTGCAGAGAAATAAAGTAACCAGAATCAAAGTAAGAAACACCAAAATAAAGCCTCACACATCTGGGAAACAGTATATATGAAAAAAGGGGTGGTATTTCAGATCAATTAAAAATAATAATAATTCAATCAATGGACCCTGGGACATGTACTTATCTATATGGGGAGAAAAAACTGGGTCCCTGCCTCATTCCCCAGATAAAAACCAATTCCAGATGGAGGAAAGACTTACATGTGTAGAGAAAAAAGAAAACACAAATATAAGGTAAATATATTTATCACTATGGACTGGTATTTTAAAATTTCCATAAAACTGAACCATAATAATGTTTGATAAGCAAGAATAGAAGAATTAAGAACTACTTTTCAACAAAAGACACCACAAAGAAAGTGTAAATATAAGCCATAGTTTGGGAGAAGTTATCTGCCAGAAATAACCAAAATAGGATCAGTACTTGGACTATATGAAGAATTAGTACAAATTAAAGAAAAAAAGACAAATTAATAAGAAGTGGTAAGGACATTATTAGGCATTTCACAAATGAACACACACGATCAATGAACATACGGAAAGATTTTAAACTTTACTAGTAATTTGAAAAATATAAAAATAAGATCCCATTTTCACCTACATAAGTCATAAAAAATTTTAAATCTGTCGAAGCAAGTGCTGATACGAATGTGAATGAATGCTAACTCTTTGCATACTGCTGGCAGAAATACGGGGGGGGGGGCAAACACTTTGGAAAACACATTCTCTTGTAAGGAAGAATATTCTTCTACTCTATGACTCATGAATTCTATCCCTAAATAGCTACCACAGAGCAAACCTTAAACTTGTAGATATTAAAAAACATACGAGAATGTATATAGCTGCATCTTTCATTTTAAATAAATCAAATGATCTAACTGTTCATCAACAAGAGAATGGAAATAGATTATGGTATATTTACAGTAAAATAACATACAGCAGAGAAGAGCTAACGAACTACAGCTACATGTTGCTATGTGGATGAATCTTAGAAATACATAAATGGATAAAACAATAATATCACTTTTACAATGTTTAAAATTAAGAAAAACTAAAGGATATATATTATTTAACTATAGAGCAAAGAAAGGGCATGATAAACACAAAGCCAAGAAAATGCTGCCCCTCTGAGGGGACAAGGAAGGAAGTTACGTGCCAAAGGAGTGCCACTGGAAATGTTCTAGTTTTTAAGCTGAGGGGTTAGTTTGTGTGTGTTTATGTGATTACTAAAATATACATACAGAATATACATATATAAGTTGTTATATGTCCTTTTCAAAAATAAAGACAAAAGAAATTTTACACTGGTTATCTTCCAGGCAAACACTTTCTCTTTTTATTTTGTACCCTTTATGATGTTGGAGTTCTCTATGAATATATACCACATTTTAAAAAAATGAATAAACAGGAGTTATCTGCATAAATGAAGTATAGGCTACTTTAAAATTTTCTTCTTTATACTTTATAGTTGTTTTAAAAAATGCTATTTTACACATTAAAAAAAATAAACCGTAACAGATCTTTGCAAAAACTGACTTACCTAGCAACTCATGTCAGGTGGAGGCTACTACCTAAAATGATGTCAGGAACAAGGGATCTGAATGTATTTTTGAAAGGCAAAAATACCTGATTAAAAAATAGAGAGTGCCAAATACACACCTGGTAGTGATTCCATTTCATGTTAATTTTTCTATTTTTGTAAGGTGACTAGAATTTTACATAGAAAGCAAGCAAGATTTTAAAAGACTTCAAGGTTATATGGACTATGACCAATCTAAATGGAAAACTATTACTGCCATTAATAAATTTATTGTCAGTAATTTATACATTTATGTTGAATGACAAATTAATTTGGTTTGAAAGTATCTTACTGTTATTCCTTCATATTCTTTCTTCACATATCCTTTATTTTCTTGGATAGGCTTAGGCTCTGAAGAACTCGGATTCTGTGTGTTTTCTACCTTTTGACCTAGATAGAGATTTGGTGGAAAAAAAAAATCAACAGGAGGAATATGTCAGGTAGTAAAACTGAAAAATTATTTTTGTATATAGGTAATTATTAAATTTTGAAATTCTAAATACATAAAATAGGTAGTCAGAGGTCTGGCTACCTGGTAGTCTATGAGTCAAGTCCACACTATAAACCTTTGCCCCACAGTGAGCTTTTAAAAGGACTGAATGCCACACCTTTCTCAGCACATTATGTTAGCACTAGGGAAGGCAGGTAGACTGTCCTGGAGGTTGTAAAGAAAAGATCTCAGAGAAAAGCTGCCTGAGTTATCCAGGTGAGTAGACAGGAAGAAGAAATCAAGTAAGGTGACTCAGAATCTCTTAAGATTAAAGACTGATGAGAAAAAGAATATCCAGAATCAGTTATTAAAAAGGGAATATCATCACAAAGCCTGCAGACAGAAAGATCATAAGAGGATTTTTGTGAATAATCTGGGGCCAATAAATTTGAAAAAAAACATGAAATCCCTAGAAAAACAAAATTATCAAAATTAAAATAGGGAAGGAAAATCTGAATAGTCAGTCTTGTAATGATTTAAAACTTGAATGGTATTTTAAAACCTTCCCACAAAAAACTCCTGGCAAATGGCGGGTTCTACCCAAATACAAAAGGGGGAAAATATCACAACAATCTTACACAAAAAGTTTCAGAGAACAGAAAATCTTCAGATAATGTATTTCTCAAATTATTTTTATTGCATTTTCTTATTTCAAGAAAATTCTAAGAAGCAATACTTCCCTACTCATTTGATGAGGTTAGCATGACTGTGACATTAAGAATTTTGAGATAACTTGTAAATAAATAAGGTTGATTTATTACTTAATGTAATTCATAAAAGTAAACTGAATGGTAAGTTTTTCGTTAACACTAGACATGATTTACATATGCTCTTTCATTCTATGTGTACAATGGTCCAACCATTTGCCTCTCTGCTTTCCACACCATGTTGCTGCTGAAAGTTGGAGAAACCGTGTGAAATAATGCTATTAAGACTTATTATTTTCAATGTCAATAGAGTCTACAAGCTGCCAGTAAAATTTTTCAAAAGTCTGGGCAGCTTTCCATTTTGTCAACTTTTGCAGCTCTTTTTATGGCACTTTCCCACCTTAACCTAATTCTGCCCTGCCTTCTACTAACTTGCTCCTCTCCCTGATTCTGTGGTGTAACAACATTCATGCCTGTTCCAGCCACTCAGGACATCTTTCTAGTTCCCGAACATGCCACACTGGAAAAACACTGGACATATGTAAGTGTAATTTATATAACTATATTAAAATAAGTAGTGAAAATATTTTATTGTCAGAAATTACACCCTTACATTCCAAAACTAAGAAGTTAGTTCCCTTGAAATAAGTAGAAAAAGTGTAAAAAGCAGTAAGATATACAAGCTTCTTCCTAGCCAGAGTCGACAATTCTGCATTAATAACTGAAGAACCTTCTCCATACCCTGAGCCAACTCTGAGCACAGTGGCTCAGTGACATCAGGTGTACTGTGGCTCCGAACGATCTGCTGCTGCTGCTGCTCTGCCGCCGGGTGACCAGATTCAACTGCAGGTGCATTTTCTGACTGCTGACATTCTTCCACTTCTGTGGGCATTAACACAAAACATGTAGAGATGTATTTCAAAATTTAAAAAAATAATTTCACCACTTAAAACAACTGATTCTAAAAATGTAGTTTTAGGTACAGTTTTTCCCCCCACAAAAATTGTGTAGTAAGATAATCTGCATTTACATTAGAAAGTTTCCTACCCTTATTAACAATAATATACTATTTACTTTTAAGTTCTACAAAGCATTTTGTTTTGTAATCTAAATGAAAAGGGGGGTTGAAAAGCTACAGAAATGGTTGATTATTATAAAAGTTATTTGGAATTCAGGGACAGGCATGCCCAGGAAAGGGAGACCCAAAAGATACAAGGAGTGGGTTTTTACATTTGAAGGGCACAGAAATAAGTGCACACGCACATACACACACACTCTTAAAGGAAGATAAAAGGAAACATGGGGATTTCTACTTTGTTCCTTTTAATGAACAAATGCACAACTTTCCAAAATAAAAAAATAATTTTTAATCACTTATACCACCAAATGTAATGTTGAGTTAATCAATGAAGTACAAAAATGATCCACAGGTCTCTTTAGAGAATCAATACATTGATGACCAAAAACAAAACAAAACAAAACCCCAGAAAACCATAGATGAGCACTAACCACTGGATAATCTCATCTAGTAGTATGACAAACTATATTGCCTTAGAGAATGAGCGCCCTCCTAGCTCACTTCCAAACACTATGGTTCATTTTAATCTACCAACACAATGCAAAGCACTGGAAGATCATAGTACCTTCTCTCTCTAGAACTACAGTTTGGGCATGGCATCATTTTTTGCCTAGGTTTTTATAATATCCTCCTAACTGGTCACAGTCTCCATTTTCTTGCCATCCTCATATGGTCCTCGATGTGGTCCTAAAGAGGTCCTTTTAAAACTAAGATATGACTGCACCACTCCTCTCCTGCCAAGGTCTTCCATCACTGTACAGTCAGGCCCATGCTCCTCGCAGTGGAGTCAGGGCTCTCCTTGATCTCACTCCACAGACTAGACCTTGCACAAGGTGCTCTTATTTAATTTAGTTTCTAGCAGCCCTAGTCTACTTGGCATCTGCTGCTCTCTCCCTCCTGCTGCTTACTTTTCCTTGCTAACTTGGCACCTCTGTTTCCTCCTCCTTCTCTCCCATACTGCTTGGGAATAGCCCCTACAGAATTCACCACACGGTCTTGCATGTGAACCTCACTATGACATCCCTGACAAGATTCCACACTCACATAGTCAAAACTTTACATCCATGTAACTATAACATCATATTTTCTGAAAGCTTAATTAGTAAAGTTTTACTGCTTCTAAGAAGAAGCAACCAATCAAAACTTACCCTGTATCATCTTACCTGGTAGTACCACCAAATTCCTTACCTGATATAAGACTCATTGTCAATGTGCCACCCTCTGTATAATCCTTTAATCTGAGTCACTAACCAATGTTCTGGTTCACCCTAATCAAGAAGTTCTATGTAGAAAAATTCTAAATATGAGAGAAAGAATTTCAATAAAAGATAGCTTATTTACACTTTCCAAATAAAAATCCCATTTGAAAGTACACTGAATATAAGTTGCAAGATCCTTTACTTATAATTCAGAGTATTGGGCCACAGTCTAAGTTCGGACACCGACAGGAAGCTGAACTGAGGGTATAATCAAAGGAAAGCCGAGGTACGAGAGCACACACACTCATTAAAGCCTTGTCGTTCCAGGATGTCTTTGGTCTTTTCTTGAATAGCCAAGAGCTGTTCATTTTCCTACAGAGAAACACAAGATCTACATACATATTTGTGATCTATCCACACATCCCCAAGCATGGACTTTTCACAGGTCCACTTTCAGGCTCTTTAGCATTAGGCAACAGAAGCTAGACCAGCCACCTCCAGCTCTCTTCTTGCACTGTTTATTGTAATTAGGCAAAACTTCAAAACCTTCTGGGAAGAGTTTTACTTCTTAATGAATCTATTTGTTCATCGAGTATCAGCAGAGGAAGCCCAAGAGCTTAGTAATGCTCTAAAAAATAAGTGGTGCCAGTTTTTATGGGTAATGAGAAGAGTGGGTTTTAGTCACTTAAATTTTATGCTAATAGTTTCTGGTCTATGAGCAGACAAGTAAGAGCTGGGCCAACAGTTGGCAGCACCTTTTTAAACATAAAGAACATCATCATCTGGTGGGATGAGATACAGCCATAGCGCCATAGTTTCCAAATTAGAATGTCTCTACTGAACTGCTGACCAAGATGGAGGCATAAATGGAAACACTGTACCTCCTCGCACAACCAGATTTAAAAACAACAATGATTTAGAAACAAAAACACAACCAGAACAGACAGAAAATTGAACTGTACGGAAGTCCGACAACTACGAACCATTCATCTAGACTGGTAAGACAGGTGAAGTTGGCGGCCAGGGGAGGCGGTCCTGGCAGGAAAAGGCTGTGGTTGGTAGACCTGGGCCCAGGAAGGAAACGAGCAAATCCAGTGAGGCGTTGAAGGTGGTTGGCTGACCACGGACACACATTCGTGCACAGATAAACCAGGCAAAAAATGGGCAGTGAGACAAACCCCGCAACCCAGGGCCCCAGCAACAGGAAATAAAGCCTAAAAGCACTGATTGAAAAAACTTGCAGGGGTTGAGGTGCTGGAAGAGGCTCCCAGCCTCACAGAAGAGTTCATTGGAGAGACCGAAAGGGTATTAGAATGTACACAAGCCCACCCACCAGGGAACCAGTACCAGAAGGGCCTAATTTGCTTGTGGGAAGTGGCAGAGGAGACCAAAATGTGAGAGAAAGAGAGCAGAGCAAGTGCCATTATTTCCTCTCTGACCTCGTCCCCACATACATCCTCAAAACCCAGTGACTGGGTTGCCCACTCCTGGTGAACACCTAAGACTCTGCCCCTCATATGTAACAGGCTGGACCTGACCAAAAATGGCTCAATCAGAAGAACAAATCAAAGGCTCAGAGCCCATACTTTTAGCGACCAAGAGATAGCCAACCTATCAGATGCACAGTTTGAAACACTGGTGATCAGGATGCTCACAGAACTGGTTGATTTTGGTTGCAAATTAGATGAAAAACTGAAGGCTATCCTAAGTGAAATGAAGGAAAATGCACAGGGAACCAATAGTGATAGAAAGAAAACTGGGACTCAAATCAATGGAGTGGACCAGAAGGAAGAACCAAACAGAAAAGAATGAAGAAACAAGAATTCAAAAATATGAGGAGAGGCTTAGGAACCTCCAGGACATCTTTAAACATTCCAACATCTGAATTATAGGGTACCAGAAGGGGAAGAGGAAGAGCAAGTGGAAAACTTACTTGAACAAATAATAAAGAACTTCCCCAATCTGGTAAAGGAAACAGACATCTAGGAAGTCCAGGAAGCTCAGAGAGTGCCAAAGAAGTTGGACCCAAGAAGAAACACACCAAGGCTCATCATAATTACATTAGGCAAGATGAAAATGAAGGAGAGAATCCTAGAAGCAGCAAGAGATAAGGGCACAGTCACCTACAAAGGAGTTCCCATCAGACTGTCAGCTGATTTCTGAAAAGGCTGTCTTGCCTTACAGGCAAGAAGGGGCTGGAAAGAAGTATTCCAAGTCATGAAATCCAAAGACCTACATCCAAGATTGCTCTATCCAGCAAAGTTATCATTTAGAATGGAAGGGCACATAAAGTGCTTCTCAGATAAGGTCAAGTTAAAGGAGTTCATCATCAGCAAGCCCTTATTTTATGAAATGTTAAAGGGACTTATCTAAGAAAAAGAAGATGAAAAAGATGAACAGTGAAAGGACAGCAAACTCACGGTTATCAACAACCATACCTAAAACAAAAGCAAACTAAAAGGACAGCTAGATCAGGAGTAGAACCATAGAAATGGAGATCACATGGAGGGTTAGCAACAGGGGAGTGGGAGGAGGAGAAGGGGGGAAAAGGTACAGAAAATAAGTAGCACAGACAGTAGGCAGAAAATAGACAGGGGGGAGGGCAAGAATAGGATGGGAAATAAAGAATCTAAAGAACTTACGACACATGGACATGAACTTAAAGGGGGGAAATGGGGGGTGTGCGGGGTGGAGGGGAATGAAGGGGGGAAATAGGACAACTGTAATGGCATAATCGATAAAATATATTAAAAAAGAAAAATATATAAACTGGTAAAAAACAAAAAAAACAAAAAAAGAATGTCTCTACTGGTTCACAACATGACAGATGAAGAACCTGCCATCACCAGCTGGTCTGCCTACCTAACAGGCTGGCCTGATGTAACTTTAAGACTTTATTTTTGTAAAACTGTTGGTAGGGGCTTCTCAGGTGGATAAAGGCCAAGCCTGTGGAAATCACCAGAAGTGATGACAGTGGAAGTATCCACGATAAGGATGGGAAGGAAGGGGAGAATAACAATGTCAAAGGTGCTCTGAGGGCTCTAAGCTATTCCTGCAGTTGACTGTTAAGTGATACAGTATGCAAAAAAGATTTTTAAACTCTACCTATCCCACAATTTTAACCCAATTACATGACTTGTAAGTATATACTTCTTGGCCGTTTCTCACACTTCATACTAAGTATATAATCAATATATGTTTTGTACAAATAAATACATGGACACCAAAAACATTTTCTTGATGAAGTTCCTTAACACAAAACAAAGAAAAAAAAGTTCTTGAGCTCCCTCTGCTGGCCTTTTACCTGTGAAGTGCAACTAACATTTAAAGTGGCTTCCATTGTACAGTATCAGTTGCAGCAGTTATTCTTTCATAATATATTTTAAACTATTTTAATACTGATATTCAAATATGAAGATAGAAGCTTATCTGATATTAAAATACAAAAAAATTAAGTTACATAAAAATTACATTATAAATCCTGGGAGTTCTAATGCATTCTCTATTTAGAATATCACACAGTATCAATTTGAGTTCAATTCTATTTCAGATTCACATCATTCACATTCTCCCAAGCATAGCTAACCCAATAACCCAAATTTTTA